TCTCTAAATATATTTTCTCACTTTCTCTTAATTAGAAATTAAGTCGTATCTCTTTTGAGAAAGGTCTTTTGCGAGTGGGGCTTTTGTGTAATTATGGAAAGTTAGAATCGTAAATTCACCAAGGAAACCTTCTTTCTACCTTGATTGAATAATTTATCCATTTAAGGATTATTTACTTGGGTTTAAAGCGAAACCCGTTAGAATCTTTGGTTTGAGAAGTTAGTTACTAAGTCTCCGTTTCAGTTTGAAGGCTCAGTCCGTATAAAATCTTTCAAAGGTTTGAGATCATCCCGATATTATAACCTCAAGTTGGTTGGTATTATTCTCTATAAAACCTATTTTAGGTTCGCAATATAAGCCCGGTAAAAAGCCTTATAAGGTTGGAGATAAGCCTAATACAAACTCAAATGTTTTGAAAACTGGACCGAATCGGCCGGTTCAACCGGTTGGATCGAGAACCAGAGATGCATTCGGTTGGGTCAACCTTTTAAAACCTCTAGTGGGTTAAAACCGGAGTAAAAACGAAGAAACCAAATTGAACCGTCTAAAACCATTCGAACCAAAGAACCGGAGCCGGTTTTATAAAACCGACTGGTTCAAGAAATTACATCAAATTGACCATTTTTTTTCTTCTAAATTTTAATATGTCAATATCAAAATTTAACATACAAAAAATAATTCTTTGTTTCTTTTACAAACATACAAACTTTTAAGTTTTGTCACTCCATTATAATTTTTCTTTCAACTACACTTCATCATCATCACGCTATCTTTTTCAAATATAGTCACGATGTCTAACTCAATATTGATTGTCGTTCGAGTCAATATGTTTGTTGTTGTCAATTAAGACTTGTTTGTCGTAGTTCAACTCAAATTAATTTTTTTTGTTTAGTGAAGTATATTATATTATTTATTTTTGGTATTTTATCTTATTTAATTTAGGTATTCTTAATTATTTGAACTTTATTTTAGTTATTATATTCTACTATTTTAATTTTGGTTTGAATTAGTTTAACTTATTTTATTGTAATTCTTTAATTTGGTCAAATTATTCTTAAATGAAGGTTCAGATGAAGTGTAGAACTATGGTATGTTATTATATGTATTATCAATATTGTTGCATTAAATTTGAAATGGATTTTTGAATTATTTATTTTATTAAATTATGAAAATATTATTATATGTGACATATCTATGAAATTTAGTTTCATATTATTAGTTTATTTAATAAACAGTTTGACCATAGGTTTAACCAGTTGAACCAATTGAATCTTAAACTGCAAGTTTCACTGGTTCGATCTTCGATCCGGTTTTTAAAACATTGATAAAATCTCCTAGGTTTGTGGTTAGCCTGTGAAAACCCCTGTCCAGTTCAAGTTTTGCTCGTGGTAAAAGATTACCAAGGTTTGAGACTAGGTCGTTTAAAATCTCAGTTTTAAAGCTTGAAGACTAACCACTCCAAGTTGTTGTTTGGAAAAAAGACTTGTCGGTTCAATTCATCGTTTAGAAGGAAGACTCGTCACTTCTCTCCGTGTTTTCTATTTGGTTGGAAGTTAGCCGCAAACTTCATTTTCCTTGTATAAGTGGGTTCAAAAGTTCAACCTACTAAAAGCTCTTAAGTTTATTAGATAGTCTCAAGATAAGATCTTTGGGACAAGACTAAGTCATTTGATTGAACTTTTATAATTCCTGGTGTTTTTCTCTCTTCACTTAACTTTTAGTTTCCACAATTTAAATTTTTGCTACTTAATTATAAGAAGTTTTACAAATGTTTTTAAACTCTGAAAAATGGTCTAAAAAGTTTTTCAAATTAAAGTTTTTCTGAAACTCGCAATTCACCCTCTCTCTCTCTCTGTCTCTCTCTCTCTCTCTCTCTCTCTCTCATGTGTGGAGTCATATGTCCAACGGCTACCCCAAGTATAGAAATGATATAAATGCATATACGAAACACACCAACTGCATGGTCGACCTCAAATTGTGTCTCTCTAAGCACATCTTGATGAGTTATCCTTAAAGGTCCCCCTCTAAAAATTCCTAGGATGCAACGATGGTCAATCAGTCATGGTTAATTAGTTGACATACTTTGTATCGCCTATAGACCCAAATTGTATTTGTGTTCCAAAAATGAAAGATCAAAATTGGCAGGCGACATGATAGGAGGCACATCAATAGAGGGATTCCCTATGACAATCAACACAAACTCAAACTTCCTCAGTACACACTTTGATAAATGAGGGGGGGGTACATTACTCACCTACCACAAGTTATCCATTCTAAGTATGACAAAAAACAAATATCATCCACCAAAATACGATATAGAGTATGCATGTATGAGTCAACAAATGAATCCCCTTTCTATGGAGATATCAAGCAGGTCTAAGGTAACTCTTCATTGTATTTAGTTCAAACTTCTCATGAAGTAATAGTTGGAAAATACTATAGTATCCATGTTGTAAAATATGTTACAAGAAAAATATTAGGAATTAGGAATTGTATAAGAAATATATTAAGAACTTAATGTGTAATTTTTTTAATATATCTGAAAAGAGACAAGTGTTACTTGTCATTTATTGGTCTAAACTTCCTTGCCTTGTCTAGTTGGGCATACAAGTGAACAAGACATAAAGCTCCCCAAGAGAATTCATGAATAATGTGTACTTCTGTAAATCATCTCAAGTACGTGACACCATTTTATGTTGTACTCTTATCAACAAAAATAGTTGTACTAACCAAGTACATGAAATAATTATGAATGGCAGAAATTCGATGATGCTCTATGCACTCGACATCATCATGATGAGCAATAGAGGATGTCATATGATGAGTGTACAATTTCTCCAATCATTAAAACCTTACATGACATCCTTGAGTGTGATTATTCTCATTTTAGCTTCCTCAAATTTAGCTCCTAACTCATCAACTAGGAGTCTACTACCTCAGACCTATGAATCACATAATGATCCAATAGTCAATCTTTAATAGGAAGATAAAGTAGACATAACATCTCATTTAGGGTGGGATCTTTTCATTAATAGGTAGATGAAATGATTAGGTCTTAAAGTTTCATATCTTAGTAAGCACTAACAACAATTCATGATTTATATAAGTATCTTCATTGCTGCAAGACCTTTCGAACTAGATGATGTTAATATATCCTGAAACTAAGCCTTATTAGGCTATATGAGCGCAAATATCTACTAGACATGACTGACACAATTCAATGTTTCACAGTACGGGAAAAAAAAGTTGTGTTTAATAATTACATCAGTTATTTTTAATTATATAATTAATACATAAAATTTAAATTAACTTAAATATTTACCTCTCCATTTCATATACAAAAAGAAACATGAACCTCATAAAGCGGGAAGAAAGATATATAGCCCCCGATAAATCTTATCATTGCTTGAGTTGGTGTCTGAAACTGAAATTGAGGTTGAACACGAGAATGAGATTTGTGTTAGGATCAAAAATGTGATCATGTATGAGACTGAGACTAAGATCTGAACAGAGTTTGTAGTGGAGAGAACAACATATCTTATTGTAGTTGAGATGTCTTTCATCAGTCATATTAATAACTCTAAGCCTAAGACAATTGACTTAGGTCAACCTGATAAACTTACAATTTCTCTATGCAATCAGAGGCATGTTGAGTTATCATAACATGTCATACAAGTTAGTGTTCATCCCCTATTTTACTATAATAATGAATACAATTTTTTCCCTTAAATATATTCAAAACATATGTAAGTTGTATAAACAATTTACTTTCATCCTGAAAGGATCATTCTAGAGGACCTTCATAATGGTTCTAAAAGCATCTTCTAGTGGCAATGGAAATTGATTTTGTTAAGATCCCTCCAAAATCATTTTTTTTACAAAAAACTATGACTACAAACTTTAAGTTTCTAAAATTATATACAATTAAGTAAATGATGAATACACCGTAAAATTATCCATACTAATACATATTGTTTGATTATTAGAAACCAATTGAAGTCTTTTGCATTTAATTTGAATGAAAAATGAGCGGTTAAGATTTTTGAATGTTTTAAATAACAAAAAAAGATAAAATAAGAAGAAAAAAAAAGCTCATGAACTTTTATAAACATGCCCTCCATAAATAACAAACAATTTAGAAAAAGTCATTTAAAAAAATTCTTTTTAAAAAGAATTGTAAGATAGACAATCTAAGAGATTTTTGAAATACATATGAGATATCTAAATTTAAAATTTTTAAAAAAAACACTCATTTATGTTCGAATGACACAAGTTAAGAAACTAAACTTAACTCTATAAAAGTTAAGAGATGAGTCATAATTCTTAATTCATGTATAAAGGTTGTGAAACATTGTCTACTACAAAATGGGATGAGGGAAGAATGATTTTTTTTTTCTTTGACAAACTTATAGTTCAATTGACCACTTACTAAAAATAGGATGTCGGGTCATGATAGCGTTGAGTAGAGAAATTACTAAAAATAGAAGGTCGGGTCATGAGAGTGTTGAGTAGCAATTATGTTATCAGATTCCACTCATATAGTAAACAATTGAATAGGAGTGAGCAACAAGACATATATACATGTGTCCAAAATTCAATTATTCATCCGACCTTAAAACGACATCGTTTATAGATGTTGAACTATATGTTTCTCCCTGGATCCAGTGAAACACAACTAAACCAAAAACCAATGATGCCGTGTCATTTTTCCGACAATAAAGAAACCAATGACGAAATTTCTTTCTCCCATAAATATAAAAATCACTTCGAAAAAATCATTTTTTTTACTATTAACAATAACAACAATAATTTAACGGTAGACCAATTCAAAGTGACACAGTCACATAAAGACACGATTTTGAAAATAACATGAAGTGAGAGAGACACAAAGAGGAAAAAAAGTTATTCCCTTTCTTACGAAATTTGAGTGATCTGTGATTCTTTTTTCAATCTTTGGATACCCATTTGGTTATTTGTTTCAAAGAGAAGCAGAAAATCAAATGGGTTGGATTCCATGTTCTGGAAGTTCCAACACTAAGAAGAAGATTAAGAAGAAATTGGATGAAGTGGAAGATATGCGTGATGCGATCAAAGCCAACCCAGGTAGGTGCTCTTGTTGATTTTGTGGTGTTGGCAAGAAAGAACAAAAATTGATCCATGATTTGTGATATAGTGAAAAACCCATCTTTGTGATAACATGATCTAATTTGTTTGATGTTTTTATAGATTCGGAGAATTAGTTAGGTGAGTTAGTTAGTTAGTTGGTTATTTGTTTAATTAGATAAGTATTTGTATAAGTAGGAGAGTTATGGAGTTAGAGAGGTTCTTTTGGATATTTTGTGAATAGGGTAGCAAATCTATTGTGAAGGGGAAACCCTTGGAGAAGAGATTCACTTCTATTCTTTCTTATTTGCTTAATTCAATTGTTCTTTCTATTACATATGAACTCCGAAGCACGGACTCCGACACGAACACTGTAACTTGACTTGACACGGACACTCTGACACTCTTAACACTGATAATTTAAGAAATCTAGGACGGTGACACGGTTGGTTATATGATAGTAATAAAGTTTCATTTATCCATCTATTAATAAAAATGTTAAAAATATTCTGATCAAAATTAATGTCTTTATTACTTGATTGATAATGTTCTTCAATAGATGTCCAAAAGGTGGGTTGAAGTAAGGGGAAAAACAATGTTATTTAAAAAAATTGTCTGAATTGTCAGATACATGATGTATGAGTGTCATACGTGTATCAGAGATTCATAGCGTCAAAGTTAAGAAAAAAAAACCATCTTTTGGGACTGTGTGAATTTACCGATAGGTTTCGTAGATGTGAAATTTAAACCTGCTATGAATTGTGCCTCACCCCATTTAAATCATTATTCTGTTGAATTGAATGCAGGGAAGTTAAAGAAGAATTCATCTGTGAGTTCCAGAAGTTCCTCTAAAAATGGAGACTCTGAACACATTGCTGCACAAACGTTCCCTTTCCGTGAGTTAGCAGCTGCTACTAGAAATTTTAGAGCAGAATGTCTTTTGGGCGAGGGAGGCTTTGGCAGAGTCTACAAAGGGCATTTGGAATCTGTTAATCAGGTGAATATGTTTCTCATCATTATTTTGTTTATGATTAATAGGAGAAAGTTACTGGGAAATGTTGAGTTAGACCTAACCCAAATTCTTAAATGATATCCGAGGCTATTCAAAATCCATTGGACTACCCAATTTTGGGTCACTCGTGTCATGCTCTAGAAGTCCAGTCTTGAGTGCGAGGAGATGTGTTAAGAATTCTATATTGGATAAGATATGGCCTAAAAGTGTGTTAAAAGTGTTTTTAAAAATTGTGAGACAATCTTCACTTTATAAGCCAGTTTTGTGATGACCGAGTTAATTCAATACAAATTCTAATAAATACCTCCTTTTTCTACATTTCTTCCTTATCCATATTGTTTGGTTTGGTCCCGAGCTTTAAACTTGTGCGTTATAAGTTGACAACCTTATTTTGAATGCAGACTGTTGCAATTAAGCAACTTGACCGAAACGGGCTACAAGGAAATAGAGAATTCCTTGTTGAAGTGTTGATGTTAAGTCTTCTTCACCACCCTAACCTTGTCAACCTGATTGGTTATTGTGCTGATGGAGATCAAAGGCTTCTAGTTTATGAATATATGCCATTAGGATCCTTGGAAGACCACTTATATGGTATATCAACACTTCAAATTTGCATTCATACATGTATTTTCTCTTTTCTAATTTTCCGAATTATCTTTTTATTGATATTTGAAACATGTTTGATTTGCAGATGTTTCTCTTGGCAAGAAACGACTTGACTGGAATACGAGAATGAAAATAGCTGCCGGCGCAGCAAAAGGGTTGGAATATCTACATGATAAAGCTAACCCTCCCGTCATATACCGAGATTTAAAGTGCTCCAACATTTTGCTTGGTGAAGGGTATCATCCTAAGTTATCTGATTTTGGTTTGGCTAAAGTTGGCCCGGTGGGGGAAAACACGCATGTATCAACAAGGGTTATGGGAACTTACGGATATTGTGCTCCGGAGTATGCAATGACGGGTCAACTGACTCTGAAATCAGATGTTTATAGTTTTGGTGTCGTTCTTCTAGAAATCATAACCGGAAGGAAAGCAATCGACAATTCAAAATGTGCTGCAGAGCAGAATCTTGTTGCATGGGTAAGATTGTCATTAAGTTCTTGTAAAAATAAATTCAGAATCTTGTATATCAAATTACGATGTTAAAAATTGAGTAGAAAGTTTGTAACGGATCATATTGCTCGTTCAATTGCAGGCCAGACCTTTGTTTAAAGATCGAAGAAAATTCACGCAAATGGCTGATCCAATGCTCCAAGGTCAGTATCCTTCAAGAGGGATATACCAAGCGCTCGCTGTAGCAGCAATGTGTGTTCAGGAGCAGGCGAATATGCGTCCAGTTATAGCTGATGTTGTGACAGCTTTGAGCTACCTTGCTTCCCAAAACTTTCAGCCGAATACGCAGACGGTACAAAGCTCTCGCCTCGGTTCCGGTACTCCTCCTCGAAGCAGGAGGGGAGTTTGATAGTCAAATGCAAGTTTCATATTTCTTACAACACACTTCAAGATATAGGCTTATAGATGTTAATACTATTTGTGTTATTTATGGTGTTATTCTCTCAGAGTCGAAGCTCATAGTAAAGTTGAAATATCTTGTGAAATTTTGTTTCTTATGGTGCACAGAATTGATCCTATTTTCATTTTGACAGAAGATAGTATTACATGACTCTTCCATAAATTTCTACCAAGAGTAAATTAATGGATTGATTGTTCTTTCTTTGTCCTGGTTGCTATGTAGTTATGTAGCTCAATAGAAATATAGCTTTTTCAATCACACAAAATTATGACTTTATTTCATCTTGTTTGAAAGTTAATCTGGTTATTTACAATTTTTTTAATATAAGTTGTAATTGTATTGTTTTTAGGCATCATTCGCAACGGGTGGATCAAAGAAGATTTTTACCTTCCTCATATCTAAATTCGAATTTTTGAATAATCTTTGTTCTTTATTCTGATCTTCAACGAGGATGAAGATCTCAAACGGATTTGGATATTCCTGCCCCACCACAATTTATACAGTGAAATCAATATTTTTAATAAAAATATTTAATTTTTCAACATATAATTACATTACAAATAATTAAATAAAACAATTTCAAAAAATTTATACATATAATTCAAATATTTCAAATAATAAATTACAAATTGAAATATCCAAGTATTGAGAATGTATTTAATATTTTAAATTATTAAAATTATATAATAAAATACATAATAAAACAAATTGGACGAATTTAAAGTGAATACTAATGTTGTGGGTACGAGTTTTGCAAATATTGTCTCCAAAATTCATTATTAATAAATAATATATTACAAGTCATTTTTAAATCATATCCACAATAGACCATACACATTAGTCATTCATTAATAAGATTTAATTGTCAAACAAAATGTAAATTCATTAATAAGATTTAATTGTCAAACAAAATGTTACTAAATTATACATCAGTGTTCATAAAATACATCAAATCATTCTCAAAATATTAATATCAAAATACAAATTAAAATATGACTAGATATATCTAACGCTCGTGTTTCTCCTTTGTCTTCTATACTGCAACACATGTCATGTATTTGCTAAGAATGTTTGTAAAACGACCCTCTCAGGAGTATCTTCTTGAAACTCAAGCCCTAGCTATGACTCATCTCCCAATAATAATAATACAGTGGCATGCGACAGTACATCCATGACATTGTCAGTCCTCACTTGTTTCTTCTCTAGTATCTCATGATGAGCTGCTTTAAGGGGATTTTCTTCCGCATCTGGTGTCATGTAAGAATGTGACACTTTATAAAATACTATTGGATATAATCGTATACCATACTCGATAAATGAGGAGCTGACACACTACGAACATCCTCTATGACAAAAGATGCTCATTGTAGTTAGCAAATGTCTCATTAACGTCTCTTTGAATTTCAAAATTTAGACTGCACGGAATAAAAAAAATAGAGCATGCATTAATCCTAAGCTCAAAATTTCAAACTAACTCTAATTAGGACAAAACAAATGCAACATTTCTATTATCTGTAATCTAATGTAGAATGGCTATGACCTATTTAGAAAATGCACGCATCACAAATAAAAAAAAAAAATGAAATAGGACGCTTACCAAATGTGAGAGGTGAATGATCTTGCCTTGAAGGTAGTATATTAGAACTTGACAAATGTACTAAGTTTGAATGCACTAGAATAGAAATTGTGAGAAAGGTTGAAAAATCTTTGTAATGGAGTAGGTGGTGGTGGTGAGTTTTATTTGACTAGTTTGAATTTGATGAAATGAAAGAAAAAGAAGATGGAAAGGTTTCAGCGTAAATACTTAAATGAAAGCATCTATATTTCAATTTTCGTAAGATAAATTTGGATTTCAAAATTTGAAAAAATTTTAAATTGTTTTTCCTTAGTTTTGAGATGGTTTAGGGTGATGCGTTGGAGTACGTTCGAAATCCAAAACTCGACTATTTTTTTTTATCATTTACTTGTCTTGTTTTAGAGAGAATTTATTATGTATTTGGTGCTTATAGAGATTAAGATCTGAATTTTGTAGGTGATTTTAGAATTTCGCCAAAGTATGAGTAATGCATGAGACATAATGAATAATGCCCTTTTCAAAAGACGTATGCTCGACATATCTAAACTTCAGAGGATTTTTTTTTCATATTTTATTTTACATGCTAAAGACTAAGGTGGGATAAAATAAAGGGAATTTTTTCCCCACCTCTATACATTCTCACAAACCTTTGGTGAAAACTCAAAAAATGTCCCTATAGCTCGGAGATGCATCTTTGGACGCACACATTTCTCACAAAATTGAGTGTAAACGAGTTATCCACCCCTATTATACTTAATTATAGTCTGAAGTTGCATCTCAAACATATATTTGGTATATTACATAGATGGATATCCAAAAATGATATTGATATTTCAAAATAGAAATAGAGACAATATGAGCAAGATCTAGAAACAAGAACAACTTGGCATCAAATTAAAACACTCAACATTATATAGATAGTCGTTAACATAAATTTAACATGACATATTGTTATAAACAGGTAGTTGAGAACGTTGCAGTAAATTGATAATATCTTCGACGGATCTTACAATCTTCGCATCCAATTCAATTGGATCCTTTGATGCATAACAGTGAAAAGTACTCCACATAACCTTTAAATCTTCATTCTCTTGAGTTCAAAGTTGGTGAACTATATCTTCCTCTCGCTATCAAACGAGGGTGAACAAAACTTGAGCTTGACAACTCTTCGATTTTCCGGATATCGTAGAAGAGTATTCAGTTTGGATATTAGATCGGCGAAATGTGTCTTCAATGATCTTAAATTGAAGTGGCGGTTTTGCGTCGTTGAAATACACAAATGCAAGGTAGAGATATGCATTTATTCCCTGATTGTGGTGTATTTTGCAAAAAAATATGGGATGAGAGACACTCTATTATTCAGTTTTGGATCACTTTGGACCTTAGAAACCTTATCCTGTCACCAAGGTACTTTTCGAATATGCATGTCTGGATACACCCTATTTTTTTTATGAAAAAAAAGGTGTTTAAGGATTTTCCAAAAAATGTCCATTGTTTTTTTTTTTTATAAATTTTGTATGGTGTGTACAGTAGGAAATGTGTTGAACAACTTGATACTTTCGAGATGAGTCTAAAATATCTCACGTACTGTGACTTTATCCTTACAGAATGTGTACCTAGAAACAAAGCGGTTATCATCCAAAAACTTCAAAAGTTGTTGCATTCCGAATCTTGGACCTCTTATTGCCATGTTGTTTCGAAAATGCGCATTGTATAGCTATTTGATATTTGAAACACTTTCAGGTCTTTTCTGTTTCAAATCTACAAGTATGTTTTTCGACGCCACCCTGGTTAAAGACATACCTGAAACAATTTGATTCATCTCCGATTTAAGACGACATATGATAGGATGAACGACTAGCTCAGTTTGCAAGGCATGATTATGTATACCAGAAACCATATTAATTTTCATGCATCATTCACCTTACAATATTCACGCAATTTAAACGGACACACATTTTCTTAATTCGGTGTCATCACGTTTCAACTTCCGAATCGGTGGAACATATGCGCCACTTCTCTCGCATATCATGGTTGCAAATGCTTACCTTCTATTAGTATCATTCTCAGACCTTCCGATTACAATGTCAAACCCCCAATTTTTTGGTCTCCATGCGGACCCATTGAAGCATACGCTCACGAGCAGTAAACTTTTGTTCATTTCTAAAATGTTGTCCAACACCTATCTCAATAACAACCAGCTAGCACCCGGTTAAACATCATCCTTCACCTCATCCGATTTAACATCATTCTTCACTTCATTCAGTTTTACATCATTACTTACAATAGATAATTACAAGTATTTTCTGATAATAATTGTATTTTCTTGTACAAATAATTATTGAGTATTTAGATACATTACCCACGGTATGAATTCGGGTGAGAGGATATCTTCAAATCAGTAGGACGTGTACTATAACCTGCACTTTGTCATTCCTAGGCACAATGCCTTCCATCACTGCCACCTGCACAACTTTTACCATTGATGTTAGCCGCTATCTGACATTGCCCCTGCCTAGCATTTCAACTATCATTGCCAGGCATCTGCACTAATTCCCCATCCGGCGAAGGTCGCCACCACTACTGCCTGAGACCTTCCACTTGCTAGCATTAACAGCAGTATCATATCTCTATATAAACAAAAGGATTTCATCTTTTTTTACATTTCAACGTTTACTGAATATGGATCAAACATAAGCACAAACTCTTTCGAAGCGACATGACAAGACCATGGATATAGAAGAATCGTTGTTAACCAAGATTATATATATTTTTAGTTACATAGTTTGGTTTAGTAAACCAATATGCATAGACATTTAACAAAGATGGATACACCGTAATGGCAGAACATCTTTTACCTAGCAGAAACCAGAAACTGATGGCACCAGTGTAAGGCTATTTTTACTATATTTAGCAAAACAAAATTATTGGACCATGGTGTCAAAGCCAAAAATATATTTTTCTAGTTTCTACACCTAATTGATCTATCAACACTTCAAACAATTCCTACATCGGACTTTAGTTTAGTAGATTACAATGGTTCCTGAAGGAAGGAAGGGGGGATACACAATGAAAATTGAGCAGTAATGATCAGGAATAGGCAACAGCTCGCTCAAAAATTGGCAGGGAAGAACCGGGTTGTGGGTCTGATCAGGACTGCACTGCATGTTCTATCTACCTTGTTGTTCTTCTATATTGGATTCTTTTCTTGGAGTGACATTGTCATGTGGACTTTCGGTTGATTCCTCGGTGTTCTGTTTACCCTGTTTCATAAGATGTGAGGGGATAATCTTACAAAAAATAATAAATAATGAACTTCTAGCTTCCAAAAAATGGCAAATGGACAGAGAAGGATACTAAAAATACCCACTTCAACCCATTCTTTATCTCAGTCTATCTTTACAGTTAACCCACTTGCTTTGTAAATTGATCAATTATAAAAATGTATTCGGCTTTTAAAAATAGATCAGTTATAAGAGGTGTGTTTAGAATACTGTGTTGCCGGAACTCTTAATGATGGACGTTCTATGTAATCTGGGAATAGTAGCTCCAAAGATTAGATCCCAAAACAATAAATAGACAATTTGTTCCCCTCAAAACATTAAGCTCTGGGTTCAAATAACTGTGCAGTGAGTTTAATTTTAACGCAAAGGAATTGCCAGCTGAACTGGCATACCACAAAAGTGAATTTTTTTTAATTCGGCTTATCAACACAGCTGTAAGCACATGTCCTCTACTTGATTATTAGTCAACAAGGCATACTTTGAACACAGAAGATGTTACCTTGTTTCTGTCACGCCAACCAAGTCCAAAACTTAGAAGACCGATCTTCCGTGAAGGGTTTTCTACACGACCAGCCCTACAAAAATAACACCAATCAAAATGATTCAAAATAATGCAGTCTCGAACAAAGTCAACTCACATCATATGCCACAAACACACTCTTTGTATTAGCATTCCTTACCCGCAAATTCACGGAAACTAGGTAATGTCAATCAAAGGACTCAGATGGTAGTAAACAATTTATTAAAGGAGAAGTGAATAAAGATGCACTTTCTAAAGTTGAAGATCAAAATAACTATCTTCTTTCCAATATTTGAAGTTTTCCATTGATAAGATCAAAATGACAATTTTCTTTCAATAGTTTGTCTTTTGAAAAGTTATTTGCAACTTGCAAGCAATGGATAATGAATGATATTGACCAAGTGAATTTCAAGCCTTTTACTGAAGCTTTGGCAGCTTTCATTGCAATTCACTATTGGGTTTCATCAATCAAAATCGACCATTTAATGCTATTTGTTAAAAAAGATCCTCATTCTTAATTTAATAAGTACAGTTTATGCAATATGGGTAGTTCATAAAGTATGCTGTTCACATATAGTTTTTTTAATTTAGTAGTTATCTTCAGTTGTTTTGTCTAGTTATTTATTAATGAGAATGGTCAAAAAATCTAAAAATTCTTCTAATGTGCAAGTCAGAACCTGCCTGTGACATTAAACTTATGAAGCAGGTTTATGGTATTATGAATCAACTTTTAATTTGTACCTTGGAGAAGATTGCGCTTTGGATTGACCAGATTGATATTGAAGGGTAGCCTCCAGCATACTTTCTGCCATAACAACTCGCTTCTGCATCTCAGCAATTGATGCTGTGGCCTTCTCATACTTTTCCTGCATATTTATTATACTGGAAATAGATATAATCGTGTCTAGTAAGATCCTTAACAACTAGCACATTGCGGCTACTTCTTTCTCTCTGATACCAGAAATTATAAAGCTCTTAAACATCAGGCAGGGATATGTTGCGGGTATTTGTATCAAAGCAAAGATATAAGGGAAATTTTAATTTCATTATCTAGTTGCCTAAAAGGTAGAAGACATCCATAGCTCACAATGAACAAAATACAGCCAAAAAGAAAATAATATGATCTTTTCCATCAAAATTATCAACAGAAAACTTTCCCATAAATATATTACAATAACAAAACATTTTGAGTAAAAGTTATATTAAGACTTTTTCCCCCATGTTAGACAAAAATATCCCTACTCTCTTTTCAATTTTTTAATCATTACCATTTTCCAATTTCTCTTCATTTTCCTGTCCTCTTAATCTTGTCTTTTTCTTCCTCTTCATTTTCTCTTCCATTGTCTAATCTCTTCATCTCATTTTTTGAATTTGAACCCATTTTCTATATTTCATTTTTTTGAAAATTTTCTACATTCTATTTTTTTCCAATGTGGTAGATGTACACGGACACTAAATTAATGTACACCTATGTGAATTCAATTCACGTAAATTTACGTTAATTGCAAACTCATGTGGGTACTAATTCCAAAGTTGTGTCTTCATGAATTTCTAAAAATCTGTCCACGTATGTTTTGCTAAGAAAGAAAAAATAATTTAGTGAATTGAGTTTTACATACACCTACGTAAGTTGAGTTTATGTAACATCTTAAAATTTAGAATTTATAGGTGGTACATGACCTCATTTTACATTCATCTACATGAATCTACATAAGTTGATTTTGTGCATGTGCTATTATTTAAGTTTGACATAACTCATCACTCTATATAAACTTTTTCAGTGCACTATCTCTAACCAATTTGAGAGTTGGGAATTTTCCAATACACACCCTCACGGCCTAAGGTCTGATCGATAGGCTCTGATACCATATTAGAGTTGGACCTAACTCATCTTTACAAAATCAGCTTTTAAGGTGAAGAATTTCTATATAAACTTTTCGAATGCTCTATCTCTAACCAATGTGAGACTCAGAATTTTTTCAATAATTATAATTATTTTTTGACTTGTATGAACTTAATTCATGTACAATTCTCAGGCGCAGAAAAAAATGAAAACTAACAAAAACAGTAAAAAGATAGCTTACATATTCGGAGACTACCATTTTTTTCTACAACGAGAGCTACCTTAATTTTTTCTCCAATGATATCATTCCTAATCTTGTCTCATATAACCACTCATCCTTTAGTCTAAGGTCTTTCGATTCTCCTAGTGTCTGTTTTTCTACCTTCCCAATTTCTTTAGCCATCTCGTTTAGGGGTGGAAATAGACTGGACCGAGTTAGGCTTTGCCAAGTCTAAGTCTGCCCTGCCAAAAAAACTGAAGCTTAAGCCTGCCATGCCAAAAAAAATGAAGCCTAAGCCTTGCCTGTAGGCTGTCATAGGCTTATTTTTAGGCCTGAGTCTGCCCTTTTCTAAGGTCTGGTTAGCCTGTTTGCCTATATAAAAGCCTGTTATTTTAAATAGACCAACAAACTAAAAAAACAACGAGACTAAAAGTTTGTTTACATTGACTTATTTTAACTTATCTATTAACATAAATTTTGCGAGATTATTTGTTTAAGATAATTTATAAAAATAACTTATAACATTGTTCATAAGATGTTTTCATCTTATTTTCATAAATTCTTCAAGATAACCAACTTTTTATTTATGTATTTTAATTCAAAGTACAAAATATAACATAATGATAATAAAAAAAATTATTCATATTTATTTAAATAAGTCGGCCTATTAGCTTTAAAAGGCTTTTTTCATGGCCCGAGGTCTAAGCTTAGGCCTTTTCTATTTAAAAAAAAGCTTGATCTGCCCTGAGCCTGTGTAAGTTAGGCCCATAGGCCCTTATTATCAGTATGGTCTATTTCCATCCCTAATCTCGTTACATGCCATCCCCACCGGTACTTTCTGGAATCTCCTAAAATATTTTTCTCAATGAAACCTCACTTTCACTCTTTAATTGATAACTTGACTGGTCTTGTTCACTTTTTCTCCCAGTAAGACAGAAATTTATGCTAAGATTTTTTATCCATTTTTTATGAAAAAAAAGTCATGTTAGAGAATGTCACAAAGATTTTTTATCCATTTTTTAATGAAAAAAAAGTCATGTTAGAGAATGTCACCCTATTCATGTATGTGATAAGACACTCCTCTCATTTTATAATCTTTTTAGGAACAATAACAACGGCTAAGCATTTTCCCACTAGGCGGAGTCGACCACATGAATTAGTTGATGGCATAAACTCTTGTTGCCTATAACAGGCCAGTAACAACTACATCTCTCTTCACAAGTAGACCTATAGTTTTTATTATCTCTCTGTACCTTCCAACTATTAGACTATCCTCTGTGTGGTATAATCATCTTATCAGTGTTCCTACAAGTTTCGTCGTATATGTTGAAACCATATAAGATGAGATTCTTCAATTTCTATACTATGCGGGATTCCCTTAATTTCTCCCTAATGATTGCATTTTGAATTAATCTTGTCTTATGTAACTACTCATCTTTTGTAAAATTCTCATCTTGGTAACTGATAGTACCAATTGATATATTATACTAAAAATGGGGAAGAACCCCCTATGATTACAACAATGACAGCACTTCAAAGATCTGCCTACCTCCCAATGTCATAAGGCTCTATTCCTCTCAAATTACAAGATGCTGCCCTCTCTAACCCTCCTATCTATTTATAGGCAGCATGCATAATTTATTTGGCCTAAACTACCTCTCAACAAAACTACTAACTAGCCTCATTGGCTAATTAGCTAACTAGCCAACTACTTAACTAACAAGTAACAACTTCTTAGGTAACAATAGGAGACCTAACAGTAACACTAATTTTGCATCCTTAATCGTTTTTAACGTATAGCATTCAATTCCGTACAACATTGAGGATGTTATATATGGGAGATAAAGTTTTCCTTTAAACCTAAGAGGTATTTTGCAATCACATATTACACTCGAAACATTCCTCCATTTCATCCATGCTACTTGGATTCAATAGTTGACATCTGCCTCTATCTACACATCACTTTATATGATAAGAGCCCAAAACACATAAAATGTGAGACTTTGGTATTATACATTCTCCATTTTTAACCTCCACATTTGAATTTGTTTGTCTAAATTTTTTCTCCATATACTTTGTTTTACGTCTATTTAGGCGGAAACTATGCACTACCAAGACTTGTCTCCATATCTCATTTTAAGGAAAAACATTGATATGATACTCTAAGCATGTTTCCATATAAATATTTTAATCCATGGTATACACTAACAATTGACTAGAATCACCGTGATCATTAAGGGGAGAGGTTACCTGGAGCACGTGAACTTCCAATTTCTGAGCTGCAAGCTCTTGTTCTGCTCTTCTGCGGGCATCTTCGGTAACCTTTTGGTCCTGCTCTAGCCGAATTAGAACCTGAGCATGTAGAAGAGTTCAAAATTGTCCATACAGCTTATATATATATTTTACTCAATTTCTTTTTACTTATTTACTTCTGCAAATAAGCTTACAGAAATAGACACTGGAGAAAACAGGTGCACATAGAACCTGCAGCATGGCAGCTTCTTGTTCTTGTTTATCAGTAAGGGCTTGTTGTAAGACGGCTACCTCATGCTCCAATTGCTCAACCTACATGAACACACATGTTTGTAAACCTTGAAAGACAACCATATAAGAGGTTTGTAGAGAAGAAAGAAATCATTAATTTTTTTTGTACTTGGACACTGAACTAGCTTTCCAAGTAGTTGTCATATGGCGTTCAGTAAAAAGTCGCCCCTATGAATTGAATGATTAAATGATATTTAAATGAAGACTATTTATAACGGTTAAGAAATGTGGTTGGACCTAACTCAACCCTACAAAACCGGCTGGTAGAGTGAGGATTACCCCCACTTATAAACACTACCCACACTTATAAACACATGTTCATGCCATATATTGTCTGATGTGGGACTCTTAACACACCCCCTCACGCTCAGGACTGGACAACTGAAGCGTGAAAATAAATGGTGGGTGGCCCGATAGCGGAAACCATAGAAGGTGGCCCACCGGATTTTAAACGAGGCTTTGATACCATGTTAAGAAACGTGGTTGGGCCTAACTCAACCCTACAAAACCGGCTGGTAGAGTGAGGATTACCCCCACTTATAAACACATGTTCATGCCATATATTGTCTGATGTGGGACTCTTAACAATAACAATGCATATTTGGTAATAAAGCCAACTTAATAACCCGCCTTGTAAATTGCATTGACAATTATTATTCTTTTAATTCATATTTATATAAATTAAACATGAGGTGAGGTACTAACTCACTCAAGCACGTTTATTTAAAATATACTTTGTCTTCCTATTTTTCACATATTACTTTTAATGATATAAAAGTGCTTCAGGAATGAGTTTAATATAATGGTCTTCCTAAGATCTATACCTTTACCAAAAAAAAAAGGTAGTTAAGGTAAGTGTATTGTTTTCTTTAATTTTCAAAATCTCTCCCTATTCTCAGTTTCTATAGAAAAATGCAAGTTACATAATACTGAGTTCATGTCAAGACATTATGAAGGATGAAGCACATAAAATATTTCATAGCAACAATCTGACCCAAGGGTATTAGTTCAAAAATTAGCAGCCAGAGACTTTTACTGCTTAACTAAACTCCCTACAAAACCGGCTTGTAAAGTGAATATTGCTCCACTTATAAATCCATTTTCAGGCCTTATCTTATCTAATGTTAAAGTTTTAACAAAACCTAAGGGTCAAACGTAGATAAAGATGTACACGGGGATCATTTACCAGTATTAGCAACAGTAGATTTATAAAACGCACGGGATAATTTATCATATTAAAAGATTCAAATATATCCACAACAACTATGTTTAGTACCACGGATGGAGTTAGCTATATGGACAAAGCATTGCCATTGGGCTCTATTAGAAACCAAATTTTCAATACATTGATAGTTGTTTTTATGGTTTCTCCTCAGGTTTTCTAGCGGTATTCAATCATTGTTAGTTAGACTACCTTCCATTTAATCCACTTTTTCACCATGAAGGATATTTATAGGGAAATAAATGCAAGGAGAATCAAGATCAGTTGGCTTATAAAATTTAGTTATGACGAGCTCAAGTTCTTAGATTGTATCATAACATCCTAGGTTTGTTACTAGGCCATCTCCATCAGTCTACACTCTACATGTCTAGTTCTAGACGTGAAAAGGGTGTTGTTATTGGGCTACCCACATTTATTTGTATGCATACTAGATTTCCCATCTTGGATTTTGGGTGGTGGTGATGGTGTTGACATCCTACTTTGAAAAAAAAAAAACAGCCCTTGCGTCTTAAGCCAGCTCTTGGGGTTGAGTTAGGTCTAATACGAATCATAAGAAATAAAAATACCAACAAAGAGATAATATAAAACAACAAGACCAATTTTTTTCGAATGTTGCACATACCCTCGCAGTCAACTCCAAACGATTATCTTCCTTCACCATCTCCATTAGAGCTGTTTCTAGTTCTTCAGCTCTGCTCAAGATATGAAACACGCATGGAAATGTATAAGGTATTAAGAAAATCCCACAATTTTTTATTGAATAGATTAAGTTTTCATATTGATAAAGGAACATGGGTAATGAAAATTGGAAAGATACATATATAATATCAAAAGTGCTATATGCAAAGCATTATACAGATTAATAACATTTGAAATTACAAGCAAGAAGACCTGAGTGGAATATAACGTGGGTAAACAAAAATGAAGAATATTAAAAAATGGATCAACAATTAGGGGTTTAGAGAGATTTTAGACAGATCCATATATGGTTTGTTGAGAACTATTTCCAAACTCAGTTTCAGGGATTGTTTTGAACACGATCATTGGAAATATTGGAAGGAATTTCTTATGGGTAGGCTTTGAATTACTCTAACGGCAGCAGATAGGTGAGTAACATGGCTAAGCATGAGAATAACTGCACTGGGTTGATAAATCCTTCACAAACTTAACTTTTCCTTCAATTCTATTTGAGAAACATTGTGTTAACTTCATATGTAGAAGGATAAAGAACAAATCAAGTTGTCTTAAAATATTGAGAATTAGAGTATAGACACCAATAGTAATTACCTGAGTATGGAAGATCTTTTCTCCTCCAGCAACCTGCACAGCTCAACCTTCAACAAAACTACCTGCACAAAAGCTATTAATCATCGAAACTAAGACTTGCACAATAACGGGTTACAATAAAGCAACTATTTATAGGATAAATACTTTTAGATTACTGTAAACCATAATTAAACCAGGAAATTACATTGAAATTATGAATTGTCGTGATTGTAATAACACGTGAAAAAATAAAATTTGACAAATGAAGATGGCTCAATTAGGAAGATTTGTGTCACACAGCGAACCTTCACTTAGAAAAAATAAACTAGGTTGCTACTTACAGTATTCAGTCATGCCAACTATGCAATGTAATAGATACTTCTCCAGTTCCTTTTTACTTGTCGTTTTCAAAGTTTAATGCAACATGTATTATTGGTTTATCAATAATACCCTTAAGTATTTATTGGAGAGGGATAAATAGATAGAATGCAATAATTAAATGTTAAGCGTATTCTAGGATTAAGACAAATAATTTTTCATCAATAGTAACAAAGTTTATTAGTTTTCTTTGTATGTGTACATAATCTTAAAATGAATCTGATAAGGAACGGAGGGAGTAACAAATAACACACAATAGGCAACTCATACGACCCTAAAAATTAAGGTCAATGGATAGGCAACTATATATTACTTATTACATTCACACAAAATTGCATACTTCTCTAGTACAGTACGCATGTGGAAATTTGAAATTTTGATTTCATTAAACATGTTTTAACCAGGACATAGTGACCCTCCATTTTCTTTATTAGAAAAAGGAAAATATATATATATATATATATATATATATATATATATATATATATATATATATATATATATATATATATATATATATATATATATATATATATATATATATATATATATATATATATATATTAAACAAAATATATAGCACTATATTTTTAAATAGCAGGCCAAATTGTAATCATTTATATCACTGAAGTATGTATTTATCTAACCAAATACTCTGCACAACATTCTCTATAAATTATTAATTTATACAAAACAAAGTTGTAACAAGCTATCAATCCTATTGTTGCTAAGTAGACAGATAATAGATCTATAAATACATATTTGGTTGCATTTTAAAGTGAATCAGAGAAACACTGTGAAATGTGCTTAGAAAATAATTATCTCCATATGGAGCAAGTACTTTTATCAGTATAATTTTCTGATGAATAAGGTCTAATTTCAATTTAAAGAACAAAAAATCAGAAGTATTAAAAATCAACAAATAAAAGCCCATTGAAGATCCAGCATTGCAATTTAATATCATTCTATTCTAGTTCGTTTTAAATCTTTTAAATGCACCCCAGTCAAATGGTATATCAGTATCACAGATTGGCAGAGTGACTCGCGCTTGATCTTATGCATTGTTTAATTTTAAATTTTAAACAATGCAGACACCTTTTAATACCATCAAGTTAACCTGACCCAAGATAGAACACGACAAAACAGACACATCTTAGAAGCATATTAGCATACTGGTGGAACTATACATGGAATTAGAGTTTAATGGTAGATAAATTTCAATCTAATTCACAAGGATAGCCTTGTTTTTTACAATGGAGAAGCAAGGTGAAAGTTGAGGAGGAGAAGCAACCTGTTCCTGGAGATCGGGTAGGGAATCCATTTTGGAATCAATATTGAGACTATTAAGCAGTTCATCTAAGCTAGAGGAATGGGACTCCAAGCCCAACTGCACATCCTTATCAGCTACATTATCACCTTTGTCATTATCTTTTTTTTCTTTCACCAGTGGTGACCCTGGGTCATGCTTGAAACTATACAATTTAGTTGCAATCCCCTTTGAATCTTTCCAAACTCGTCCTTTCCTTGACCTCTCTTCTATAACTTCTAATACAGATGGGCGGTGTTTTACTCTCAGTTCCTGCAATCGTGCCTCAGTCACAGCTAGAAAACCCATACAAGCAGTAAAGACAAGCTGGCTGCTATCAAATGTCGAGCCAGCAAGTGATTGCAATAGAGTAATTGCATCACCTGCATCTTTTGTTGTAACTAACGCAGGACCTAGAATAAGAGATTTGTTATTTAACAATGTAAGCAATTGCTTAGTTTAGTTTAGTTTACTACTTGGTCATACTACTCAGCACAGATCAGACGCAAAAATATAATAACACAAGTCAATACCATATAATTCCATTAGAGCCAGCGCTGTTCGAAATAGCATAACACGGTTCCCTTCAAACAGCAGAACATCCCAAACTCGAATAACTAATAAAAAGAAACACATCAAAAGGCAAAATTTAAGAATATGCCAAGTTCAAAATCAATGTTGTAATATTACATTAAAAAAATCATTCCAAAAAAGATTTTACCACTTTCCCATGGAATCATGTTTACAAAGATTGATAGAAACCACGGCCCAGATACCCATGCTACCTGCACTCCCAAGTAATCTAGATGATTAACTGCATCAAAAACATTCATAGAATAAAAAATGCTATCCAAGCTGATTCAGAGAATAAGAAAAATACTTGAGAGTAAATATGATAAATACGAACCTAGTTTAGGAAATCTTTCACGCATCAATTCCTCAAAAACAAGCTGGTCCACCTACAAGGTTAATAGCTTCTGTGAGTTAGTGACTGGCAAAGAGAATTTGTCCTAAATACTATGATTCACACCTGGGATTCTATCATTTCTTCCGTATAGCAGCCTTCAAAATAATCATCAATAATTCCAACGAAGGTCCTGAGTTATACCAGTCCAACAAATCAGCATCATATAAATATAAGACAAATTAAACCATGTATTGATCTTGTTGTAAATAATTTACTTTATAGTTATTTACTATTGCTAGTAGTAACTTGTATTCGGACCTTTAGTCCATTAGTCAGACCCATTAGGTTAGAATAGTCTATATAAAAAGATTAATGCTTGTGCATTCTTCATACTTAAAATATATTATTCAGTTTTCACATATCTATAAGAGAAATGATTAAAGAAGATCTAGAGACTACTGAGTTGAATAGAGATATGACATATTATAGAATGTTATGACGTCGATTGATCAATGTAGCCGACCCCACTTAGTGGGATAAGACTTGATTGTTGTTGTTGTAATAAAGAAGGTTTACGTTACACAGGAAATAAGCAGAGCAGCAGGAAAATATAGCTTCAAAGGAAATAATAACTGTAGCAGAGAAGCATAGATTGTTGGTTGCTGATCTGAAACCATTAAGGCACAGATATGCAGCCATTAATAAGGGACAACAATGCAGATTTTATAGCTGTATTATATGAATACATTTATACTTATTTACATAGTCATATAGAATATTTCCATTCTTGTATATAGGGATTAATTTGAGTTAATTAGGACTTAATTAGTTTCTTTAGTTGCTTGTACTCCCTAGGTTATATATATCCTATTCTATTATGTACAAACTCAATAAAAAATACAGAATTTCTACATGGTATCAGAGCTACCGTTCTGATTCGAAATTTTTTTTTTTTGGATTTTCCCATGGAGGAAAAAACAAACAGCTCAAGCATCTCAGATGTTGATCCAAAGGCGGCGACTGGAAACACCACCAGTCATAATGAGACAATTCTCATTACTTGTTACAAGCTCAACGGACAGAATTATACACACTGGTCTAGATCTATCCGACTCTTCCTCCAAGGAAAGGGAAAGGAAGATTGCATCACCGGCGACGCTAAGCAGCCAACAAAGACTGATTCAAACCATGCAAAGTGGAAACTTGAAAACAGTCTTGTGATGTCATGGTTACTCAACTCCATGACAAATGAGTGTGGTGAAAATTTCATGTATTATGGCAATGCTGCAGAAATCTGGAATGCAGCCAAGGAGACCTACTCAAATGTGGATAACACTTCAGCCATATTTGAGATCAAAAGTCTCTTACATAACCTTCAACAAGGAGACTCTCTAGTAACTGAGTACTATCACACTCTCACAAAGTATTGGCAGCAACTCGACATTTATGCTGACACAGAGTGGAAGTGTCCGGAGGATGAAAAAATCTACAAAAAATTGATCGAGAAAGATAGAATCTATCAATTTTTATTAGGATTGAATAAAAATTTAGATGAAGTAAGTGGAAGGATTCTTGGAACTAAACCTCTCCCTAGCATTCGTGAAGCATTTGCAGAAGTAAGAAGGGAAGAAAGTGGAAGAAAAGTTACGTTGGGAAGTCAAAGTGCAAACATTGAAGGTTCTGCCCTTGTAGCAAGAGGCCCACCAAAGAAAGGTAGAGGATGGTGTGATCACTGCAAGCGTCCCGGACATACAAAGGAAACATGCTGGGTGCTTCACGGGAAACCCACAGATCTGAAACCACGATTCAAGGATACACGCGCATATGCTGCTGCTGTTGATGAAAGCAAATCCAAATGTACTGCAGAGGCAGACCCTTTCAACAAAGAACAAATAGAGATGTTGCAGAAAATGATGCAACAAGCAATACAAAACACTAGTACTTCTTCCACTGCTACTCTTGCCCAAAAAGGTAATTTTTCTACTGCCCTTCATGTTAGTCACTAGAAAACAAACCAATGGATTGTTGATTCCGGCGCATCGGATCACATGACTGGGGACATCAATGTATTTACCAAATACACTCCCTGTCAAGATGGATCTTTTGTTCGACTAGCAGATGGTAGTTCCTCTAAAGTGGCTGGTAAAGGTTCAGTGATTATCACTAAAGATATTACTCTTGATTCAGTTTTACATGTTCCAAAATTAAATTGCAGCTTGTTGTCTATCTGTAAACTAACCAAAAATTTGGGATGTACTGCTAAGTTTTTAACAAATTTGTGCGAATTTCAAGATATGAATTCGAAGAAGATGATTGGCAATGCTGAGGAGAGTGCAGGCCTTTACTACCTAAGAGTTGAAGAACAAAATAAAAGATCATACAAGGCTGCCCCTTACGTGTTCATCAAAGAATGAGAACGATGTAATGTTATGGCATTATCGCCTAGGACACCCAAATTTTATATATTTGAAAAAGATGTTTCCATCATTATTTAATAAAGATTCTGGTTTTTTCAAATGTGAAGTGTGCGAATTAGCCAAACACACCAAGTCTCATTATTCCATACAACCTTATAAGCCATCTAAACCTTTCACCCTTATTCATAGTAACGTGTGGGGACCTTCACGAGTGAGCAATATTACTGGGTCAAGGTGGTTTGTCACCTTTATTGATGACCATACAAGAGACACTTGGGTGTTTCTCATGAAAGAAAAGTCAGAGGTAGGAGGTATATTTGAGAACTTCCATAAAATGGTTCAAACCCAATTTCAAAGCAACATTCAAATCCTAAGAACTGATAATGGAGGGGAGTACTTCCACCACACCCTTAGTACATACCTTGCCAAAAATGAGATTGTACACCAAACTTCATGCCATATTTTCCCCAACAAAATGGAACAGCAGAGAGGAAAAATAGACACCTATTAGAAGTCACTCGAGCCCTTATGTTGTCCATGAATGTACCTAACCATTTTTGGAGAGATGCAGTTCTTTCTTCATCATACCTAATAAATAGAATGCCCTCCAAAACACCCAACCTAAACACACCTCACCAAACCCTCTTATCCTTTTATCCTTCGACTAAACTCATCACAAATCTCCCACCAAAGATTTTTGGATGTACTGCATTTGTACATGATCAAAAACCAAATCCCAACAAGCTGGACCCAAAAACCATCAAATGTATATTTTTGGGATACTCTCCTACCAAGAAAGGATATAAATGTTATTGTCCTCAGAAAAGACAAATCTATCACACTGTAGATGTCAAATTTTATGAAGGGAATGCCTTTTATTCCAAGGTTGTCATTTAGGGGGAGAAAGTGACAATTGATGAACACCAACCTTGGGAAATTATTATACCAAAATATGTCCTGCAATCTGCCCTAGAAACCGTTGCAGAAAATGTACCCGAATCTGTCCCAGAAGCCGTTCCAGAAAATGTACCCGAATCTGTCCCAGAAATCGTTCCAGACACTGTACCAGAATCTGTCCCGCTAGAATCTGTCCCAAAATCTAACCCATCGAAACTTGGCTCAACCACTAAAAATTCAGAATCTGCCCAAATAATAGTTGAACCTGAATTGGACCAGCAAGCAACCACTCTTGATGTTACCAAGACAACAAATGGAAGAGAAGAAGTACAAGTATACACAAGGAAGAAAAACAAGCTTCAAACTCTTAAGGAAGTAGAAACATGCACTCTTCCGAAGCAGAACCAAGGCTCTGCCCAAAATTCAGATTCTGAATCTACTCACAAAGGTAAATTACCATGCATTGACTCATCTTCTAATTTATTGGATAATGACACTTATGACCAGAACTTAAACTTACCTATTTCCATAAGAAAGGGAGTGAGGTCTTGTACCAAACATCCAATTGGGAACCATGTTTCTAGTGAAAAATTGTCGCAGGAGTACAAGAATTTCATCAACTCAGTGGACAACACCCACATTCTTCAAAATGTCCATGAAGCTATCCTAGTTCCAGAGTGGAAAGCTGCGGTTGTGGAAGAAATCAAGGTACTAGAAAAGAATAGAACATGGCAGCTCTGTCACCTTCCAGATGGAAAGAAGCCAGTTGGATGCAAATGGATATTCTCGGTGAAATATAATATGGACGGGAGTGTGAACAGGTATAAAGCTCGATTGGTGGCAAAAGGATTCACTCAGTCTTATGGGGTGGATTATGAAGAGACCTTTGCACCTGTAGCAAAATTAAACTCAGTCTGTGTTCTTCTTTCCTTGGCAGTAAATTTGGATTGGCCACTTCATCAGCTAGATATAAAAATGCTTTCCTAAATGGTGAACTTAAAGAAGATGTTTACATGAGAATACCACCTGGACTTGAGACGTCGGAAAACTCGGACAAGGTATGTAAGCTCAAAAGATCACTATACGGGCTCAAGCAATCCCCACGGACTTGGTTTGATAGGCTTACACGAGTGGTTAGGATGCATGGTTTCACTCAATGCCAAACAGACCACACAATGTTCTTAAAGCATTCGGAGGAAGGCAAGGTAACCATCTTTATTGTTTACGTAGACGACATTATTATTACAAGTGATAACTGTACTGGAATTGAAGGGTTAAAATTGTTACTAGCTAAGGAATTTGAAGTTAAAGATTTTGGTCAATTAAGGTATTTTCTTGGAATGGAAGTGGCACGATAAAAATTTGGAATTTATTTGTCTCAAAGAAAATATACTCTTGATTTACTTCAAGAAACAGGGATGTTAGGATGCCGGCCAGCAGACACTCCTATGGAATCTAATGTGAAAATAGGAGAGGAAAAAGAGAGTCCACCAGTTGATAAAGAGATGTATCAAAGACTGGTTGGGAGACTTATCTACCTAACTCATACACGGCCAGACATTGGTTTTTCTGTTAGCATGGCTAGCCGCTACATGAACGATCCCAAAGAGACTCACATGAAAGCAATTAACCGTATTCTACAGTATCTCAAAAATGCACCAGGGAAGGGGCTGCATTTCAAAAAGGACACAAGCAGGAAAATAGAAATATTCAAAGATGCAGATTGGGCTGGCTCAGTAACTAATAGAAGATCAACCAGTGGGTATTGCTCATTTGTATGGGGCAACTTAGTGACATGGAGAAGCAAGAAACAATCTGTGGTTGCAAGAAGCAGTGCTGAAGCAGAATTTAGGTCAATGGCTCATGGAATTTGTGAAGGGATATGGCTCCAAAGGATGCTTGTGGAACTACAAGTTCATACTTACCATGAAGTAAGTCTATTGTGTGACAACAAAGCTGCCATAAGTAGTGCTAAAAATCCTGTGCAACACGACAAGACAAAGCATGTAGAAATTGATAGACATTTTATCAAGGAGAAGATTGACAACGGATTAATTTATCTTCAGCACACACCCTCAAGTCATCAAATAGCTGATATCTTGACCAAGGCACTTCCTAGAACCAACTATGTAAACTTAAGATTCAAGTTGGGCATGATAGACATTTATGACCCAACTTGAGGGGAAGTGTTGGTTGCTGATCTGAAACCATTAAGGCACAAATATGCAGCCATTAATAAGGGACAGCAATGCAGATTTTATAGTTGTATTATATGAATACATTTATACTTATTTACACAGCCATATAGAATATTGTCATTCTTGTATATAGGGATTAATTTGAGTTAATTAGGACTTAATTAGTTTCTTTAGTTGCTTGTACTCCCTAGGTTATATATATCCTATTCTATTATCTACAAACTCAATAAAAAATACAGAATTTCTATATAGATAACTGTTGGAGACTGTTTATTACATGTAGTTAGTTAGTTTGCAGTCATAGGAGGGGAGGTAGTCAAATAAATCTGGAAAATAGGAATTGTTGGTTATCTTGTATTTTGAGAAATAGTAGTGAGCAAAGTTATCAGGTGTTTTGAAGACCTGGATACCCAATAACATTTCTATATTTTCACCATCCCTGACCTTTGTTTGTGCACTAGAAAACTAGGGACGAAGGATTCAATTCATTAAAATATTTGTTAATTCTAATATGTTTTTACGGGAAGTAACAGAATATAAGATAAGTTTATTCAGATACTTCTTTTGATTATACGGGAAATTTCAATTCAATAGTTGTTCTAATATGTTTTATGTTAAAACATACCAATGCACAGTCATAAATAGATGCATATTTAGAAGATTGAGTTTCCGGTATAATCAGTTAGCAAAAGACAAAATGGATGGAAGTTTATTCATTGGAACAACTATTGTCTATGTTATAAAAGGGACTGACAGGGGGAAATATAAGGTAAGTTTCATAAACCTACCAAAAGGCATTTTCTTCTGGCATAAGAAGCAGCAACAAACCAGCAAAGAAGTTCATTGCCTGCATGTATTCCAGAATTATAAATTAAGAAAAATCACAATATGATGACTGTGATGACAATGATGACAACAATAACAATAATGAAGAATACCACCAGTGAAGAGATTAACAGATTCCATCAACAAAAAATTCCTAGTTTCAGTCAAACAATAAATACAAAACACACAGATGCGCGCGCGGAATAACAACAATGGAAATGCAAATATAGTCAAGAATAGTGAGTATATCACACTTCGTGTTGCAAAGGATATAAAATCTTCCAATCAGCTTATGTTTGAGGCTTTAAACAGTCTATATCTTTTTAGCAAACACTTGTTCGAGTTTTAAGGAGGTACTAACAAGAAGTAGGAACGCAAAAAATCTTTAAGAAGATATACTATATATGGAAATATATTAATATATTAATATATTAAAGGATAAGCAAAATAAAAGGAAGGTGCCCTTAAAACAACAAATGGTCATCAAAATTTAGTGGGACAGCTAAAAATCTTTAAGATATACTATACATGGAAATGCATTAATATATTAAAGAATAAGTAAAATAAAAAGAATGCTCTTTAAATCAACAAATGGTCATCAGAATTTAGTAGAAAAAGTTTGGCAGACCACTAGCGTCAATGCTAATGAGTCAGTCTTCAGCAATTACTTGTTGACCTTACTAGTTTGCAAAACTTAAGTTGATTTCTAAGCATTGACTCTGTTTTTAGCCTTAATGTTTGTTTATTTGAAAAAACTTAAAGCAAAATTTAAGTTGATTTTCAGTTACATAATCACTAATTTTTTAGAGTGCTAGGAACACTCCTTCTCTTAGTGGGTGAAACTCATGTGGGTACCACACTTTGGAAATGACTCCCGTATAAAGTGGTGGGATCCACATTGGTTTCACCCAATAAGAGAGTGTTTCTAGCACTCCTCTTTTTAATAAATGGGGAAAATCACCATAACAGTTTCTGGACATAATAGCTAAATTTCCCAATGACACAATGTCTTTCAATTTATGTAACCCTTGCTGGGGAAAAACTTATTTGGAGGGATGTAAATTTTATGAGCAAGTTTCAATAGCTTAAACAATAGGAAATTACAGCTGAATCTGTATTTACCAAGAAAGAGGTTTTACACTACATTTACCTGACAGTATCCAACAGAGGGGTTATGTCGAGCATATGCTAGCAATAAACGCCTCAAGGAATTTCTGCCATTTTCGTCCAAAGCAGGGTGACCTGGGAAAGTTCGTGGTATGTCCTGAGAACGGAAAGTGCTATTTAGTCTAAGGAGAGAGCCAACTTGCAATATAAAGCAAAAGATGCAGCACCTACAAATCAAAATAAATTCCAGGGCGCATGCAGCTAATGACCTTCTCAATCTGCTTTCTCCATTTCCCTGATGCAACAGATTGAACATCTTGCTCCTTGCCTTCACAACTATTAGTTTCTTGAGCTAAAAGATCATCATAATAGCGCTCCACCCGCCGTGTGTTCACACCTACAAAGGCTTGCCAGACCTGTAACAGCAATATTGTAGTGTAGGGAAGGCTACTGTACTTTTTCCCCCAACAAAAGTTCGAACTTGAGTGTAAAAGAAAACATAAATTTTACCTCTCCTCTAAGATCCTTGGGGACTCCTCCCTGAACAAGGGACTGCAGTTCCTTCCACGGGAAGAAAAGTTCTGGCAGGTCTTGATCCATTAAATTATTTTCCGCCCTTGAACCATTACCGCCATCTAGAGTCTCATTAGTGCCGACCTTTCCCTGAATACCTTCCTCAGGATCCCCTTCTACAGGTTCTGATTTTTCTATAGATGGAAGGTGGCCATCACTAACATTTGTCTTCTCATGTTTCATATTTTTTCCTTTCTTGACACGAGAGCTCAATATTTCTTCAATGGTACTAAGAGATGACCTAATTTCAGCCCAGCGTTGAACCTTACGGGTCTTTCTTTCTTCTGAATGGTGCAGTTCCTTTGGAGAATTATTTCTTGTTGAGCAATCAGAAAAAGACTCCCTCCTACTTGAGTCACCTTCACTAGCCTTCCCCAAACCAGTAACTTCTTTTATCTCAGTTTCTCCAGAAGACGTCCTGCTACTTGAGTCACCTTCTTTTATCTCAATTTCTCCCACACTAATTCTGTCTGCATTTGTCTCTTCTACCTCCGCAGATTCAGGAAAAGTCCTGCTACTCGAATCATCCCCATTACTTACCCTATGAGGATTTTTCTCTTCTTTGACCTCACTACTTTCAACTTTCAATGTTTCTTTATGTTTGTTCTCAGAAGAACTTGCTTGAGATGATTTATCTATCTGTTCAATGAAACTTCTCCATTTATCTGACCTTTCAACTTCTTCTTCCTGATATGATAAATGTATCAATTTAGGTTATATTGCATATGTGCTACTTATTGGTAAAAACCAGTTCTTACTTCTTAGCATTGTCGGTTATTTAGCTCAATTTTTCGTTGTATCAAAAGGTTCAAATATAATGCTTCAATTGCTCTTTCTTCAATTATTCAGTGAAATGTATTCAACCATTATGGGATTGAAATATCAAACTAGACCAGAAGTAGCATAAATCCAAATCGAAGCACAATGAATAGTTACCTTGTAGATTAAGGAATACTCTCTATATCTTTGTGCGTATTGAGGCCTTAATGCGAACCCATAAGAATCCCTGTAGATATAGACGTACAATTATTTCTCTGACGGAGAAAAAGAACAACATTAACTCTCATTTCTAAAACCAGTATAAAATAAACATAAAACACAAGACAAACTACAATTTCTACATAAATGATGAAGAAATTCAAACACAAAACCGCAACAAAAATTCAAAACGAATGTCCTACAGCAATACACACATGTGCAAAGCTTCACCGTATACATTACCTGGAATCAACCTCCAATGTACGTTTACTCAGCAAGGACAACAACATAGTTTAAAAACAAATGCAATTCTACAGCCCATAGCTTTCACTCTGAAAACTAATCGCACAAAGCAAACGCTACCACCACATTTCAGAAATCAAAGAGCCACATTCAAATTACACGTGAATCCAGAACAACACTCAACTATTGAAAATTCAGTAATCGGATCGTGATTTTACAATTACCGATCGATGAATTGTTTTTTTTCTTAGAACAGTGACTGCAACGAAGAAAAATTCAAAACTAGATCGAAGAATTAGCGAAATGTTAGGGTTCAAAGACACGTGGAAATGGAAGAGAAGAGAAACGAATTATGAATGTATGTGAAAGTATATATACCTGTTTGATTTGAAATTGTGGAGGAGATTGAAAGTGGTGTCCGCCATGTTCGGTAGTGTTGGCGCGAATATGAATCCGAAGAGAGTGAATAGGGATTAGGGAGTTAGTTTCGGAGGAGCGTAAATGATAACTGAATATGAGTCTTCCAATCCTTCTTCTTCATGCTCCGTGTATAAAATCGAAGCTAAAATTCCACGTCGCATGCTGAGCGAATTTAAGAACCTCCTTTTTGTAGTATCCAAGAGTTGATTTATGGTTGTCGCCACGTGTCGTCTTCATGAACCTCCATATATTAGTTTTTTTTTTTTTTTTTAATTCGGAAAGTTAGATGGCATAAAGAATAGTAGGTAATTTATGTGATATCAAATAAAAAATTAAATAGATGAACAAATTTGCAATAGACATTCACAAGTTAATTTTTATTAAGAGTTAGATAAATCATCCATAATTTTTAAAAAGTAAATAAAATTTCTATAATATATATATATATATATATATATATATATATATATATATATATATATATATATATATATATATATATATATATATATATATATATATATATGGGTTAAATATTTTTTTTCCTATAAAATTATCAATTTTTGTTTTTGATCTCTATAAAAAAAATAGTATGTTTTGCTCCATATATATATATATATATATATATATATATATATATATATATATATATATATATATATATATATATATATATATATATATATATATATATATATATATATATATATATATATATATATATATATATATATATATATATATATATATGGGATCTCAAGGGAGAAGACTATGGGTCTTCGCCTAGCATGGCATTGTCCGAGCATCTTCACAACATACAAGGTCTCGCCTTTGGGGCAAGTGACATGTGTATTACCGTTAACCCTTCATTAGCCATATGATAAGGAATCATACCACGACTTCTTGAAAAGTAGATAGTTAACAGTCTCTTATAGTTAAAGTGGAAGTTGTTACTGCCTCAAATGGTTTCTAAACCCTAGGTCCGGAAAACATCTATATATACTTCTTCCCTAAGGGGAGAAAGGGACAAAGCATAACTTACGTCGATCATCCCAACCATAAGCATTACACTTGCATACAAAGTCTCTCACCTCATGTGAACAGACCCTCTAAAATGACTAAAACATCACTATAGAGGATTTCTCACCATCTTGAGCAAAACCTAACCACCACAATTGTTATAAACCTACTAAGACCCCTAAGTATCCCCTACCCTCGTATGCATACCTATACTTTTTAACTAATATAGTGACGCCCACCGTGGGGCCCGAATAAAACTAACATGGATGACACCTTCTTCATCACAATCATCATACTCACTATTACCCTCCACTCGTATACCTAGCCTTTCACAGCAATGGTTAACATGAGATCTTCATCCCCTACACTGAAGAATACCAGTGGTGGAGGTGCTGCCAGCGCCATAGTAAAGATACATGTCGTCATGGACGAACTATGCCATCAGAATCATACACTAGAAGACAATGTCCACAATATCAAACATTGACATTAAGAGCCCAATCCCCCATAGGAGATGGAAGTCATGGATCTCCATCCACTCTTAGATTAGATATGGGAAGCGCCTGTCCTTGAAGGATTCAAAAATCCTTCTCTTGCCAGGTTTGAAAGATGCGGTGACCCTTACGAACATGTCGCCTCCATCAATGCTCAAATGGCCATCATCGAAACGCCTGGCTCCCTCAAATGGCCATCATCGAAACGCCTCCATCAAGTTTATGAATAATTCTTCATTCTTCACATTTGTTTCTCTATCTGGCATTATTGGTAAGGAAAAAGAAGAAAAGAGAGAAGAGATAAGGAAGAGAAATTAGAATAAGAGAAAAGGAGTAAATTTTTAAAGGAAATGGAAGAATCATCATCATCTTCATATATTAAAGCTTAATTCTAGGTTCTATTAAGGTAGAATTCTAGTTTTATCATAGCTTTGGGGAAAGTTTCTGGGGAGTTAGGGTTTTTATGGTTTTTTCTATGTTTGTGAAATTGATATTCGATACATGATCTTCTTGTTTTGTTGTATAGTTATTATTGTTAATTCATGATGTTTGATGTTGTTTATGAATAATATGATGTTATGATGTGTTAATGTTATGTTGTTTGAGAAAATGTGTTTATAAATGAGTTTTTGGAAAAATTCCAAAAGTAAATTAATTTACCTGTCCTAATTTTTCATTTTTTTTTGTGGCAGGGAGGGATTAAATTGATTTAACCTCAAGGTAAATCGATTTACCTACTTAAATTTCCTTGTTTCTTGTGGCAGTGAGGGAGTAAACTGATTTAACCTTAAAGTAAGTCGATTTACGTTCCCAAACTTCAAATTTCCCATCCTTTTAACCATTCTTGAGCATGTTTATCTTACATGGAAACACATGGGTGATTCATACCATGAAATATGCTATGTTATTAATGATTAGAATGATAATAGTATGAGAAATTGTGATGAATTCAAATTAACATGGATCAATCCCCAATTGGTTGAATCATCGTAAAAACCCTAACAGGTGATGATCGTACTAAAATCTTTATTAATTCGGATGCGATAGAGAAACCTTAATTAGTTAGGTGAATGAATGTGAGTAACCTTAGGTTTTATTGAGTTAATTTAAGTTATGATGCTAGATTGTGAAAGATACCTCGTTGTTTACCAATGACTGAGTAGTCACTTGAGATGAATCGTTCCATTTACGAGAGTGCCCAAATGGCACGAATGGTGAACGATAGTCTAGATGTAAGTCTAATTGGGTTTGTATGGAAAGATATCACGATAATTTAATTGTTGAGAGTAATCATGTATTTGGGAATAACTCATATTCGTGCTTGTTCTAAGTTTGAATCTTATGTAAAGTAGTGACTAGGAAAGACGAATCACATAAATGATATCATGACCCGTGTCTTGACCCATGCAAAAGGTGTTTGCCGGGGAAAGTTAATCCTTACGGAATGGAAAACCATAACCCATGTCTTGACCCATGTAAGAGGTTCTTTCTAGGGAAAGTATTTTTATTAATGTAGGAAGTCTGTGACTCGTGTCTTGAGCCATATGAGAGGCGCTTACCAGTGAAAGACATTCCTCATTGAGCAGACATCCGTGACATGTTCCATTTTCCCAGACGTAGGATAGGCCGAGGAAATATGTCCGATGTGATAGAGATTCGTGACCCATTCCATTTTCTCAGGCATGGGATAGGTCAGAGAAATATGCTTTGTTGTTCATATTCTTGAGTAGTGGTTTATTAGGTCATTTGGACCCGAGTTCATTTTGTTTCCATACGAAGCAATATCTCATAGATACTCAAGTTTTTATTCTATCGTGTGAATGTATACATGTAGGATAAAATATATTATTTTAAGTTAGAGTATCAAATAGAAACCCTGTAAAGCTGAGTGGACCCATAAGATAGGGAACTCCACTAGATTTAGTAATCTCACCCCAATCATGTTGTTGTTTTTAGGTAAGTTGTAGGAGCTGGAGAATTGGCAAGAAGGCAGAAGATCAAAGTCTTTAATGTCTATTGGATATGTTCCGCAGTGTTTTTCTATTTATTTCATTTAGGACATCTGTTGTGTTAAATCTTATGTAATATGTACATGATGTAATACAACCTTGGATGTCATTTAGACAATGTTTTTTTCAGTACCAAATTTTTAACGCTTTATGTAATACGATTTTAGATAGTAATATATGGGGTGTTACAAGGATATTGGTTGGGTGAGCATTACTATTCTGGGATGTTTTGCATTATCATTTCCCTCTATCAACAACCATACATTGGGGGAGGGGAGATGGAAAACCCATTTGCCGTTGTGCAGCTTGCATACAAACCAAACACCATCTTCTCTCATCAAGAGGATTCTTGGCCATATCTTCTACTAAGAAGACAATGATATTAGCGTATATAAAATAATAAACATGTAGTCAAATCAAAAGGTATCTTTCATAGAACATACCTAAATAATCCTCGACCATATTTCCCTCTTCACGGTCCCAGGTAATTTGAGTACAAGAGTCCAGAGTCCATAAACATTTCAAAAACTAGATCACTTCTTGGTCAATGAGGGAAAGAACACTTGGATTCACCCCCTTGATAAGTCGAGGATTTGACATCTACGATAGAGGGAAAGTGGGTGCTTATTACCTTTGTAATCACCCGCGAGGCGTTACCTCACCCTCTCACTCATATAAATATATGCTTTCAACCCTCATAAGGGTTTGCATAGAGTTCCAACAAGCATCTACCTGACAAGGAACACAAAGTTACCCAATTATTGTTAGGAAGAACTTATGTGCTAAAAAAGGAAAGTGAAATTCTAGTGTGCAGATCACAAATGTCCCAAAAGATGTCAAGACATTGATCTCTGCATAACTAACAAAGCCAAAAACAAGAACATCCAAATACTGCAAATATATTACAATGTCATGACAAATGTTTCAACATCTAATTAGACATATATTTCAGAACATAAGAGCAGATTGAATTTAACATTGCAGAAAGATAAAGAACATCAAGATATGATGACCTAGTTCGGTGAACAACAACACCTACATCTGGGGGCTACCAAACCAGGAACGAATCCATTATTAGTAGTATTAATTTAGAGATAAACTCCCCCATTTAAAACTCCTCAATTAATCCCTACCCAGTGAAAATTCTATATAGAAATCACCATATAAACAAGAGAAACCCATCCTAATTCCTAAATCACCTCAGTGATATCTAACAGTCACAACCTCTGGTGAATGTATCAAACTGTTCAATTGAAAGACACCCCTCTCAATACAATATTCAGTCAAGACTTTGACTAATAATAATGCTTGAATTTTCTTAATAGCTTCGTCCAAGAAAAATATACAATTCATTACCTACAGGTTTTTGAATATCAAAAACTATGTCTACTACAATGTATCAACTGATACAAAGGTGACTTACAACAAAAGAAAGTACATGACTCTCAAAAACCTAAACCTTTATAATTACTTTACAAGAAT